AAAAGGAGCTAAAGTTACCAAATTCCCAAAGTGTCGACTTTAAGAACAACGCCAACAATCATGAGAGTTGGCAATACTGACACTGGGTGGTGCCCTGAGTGGCTTAGCCCTGATGGCATCCCACAATGCCTCGTGGCTCCTCCAGCATCCCACAATGCACCGTGAGCTCAGTGAGCTAAGCACCCCGAGGGTGCTGCAGGCAAGGGTGCAGTGGGGCTTTCAGTCCCCTCTAGGTGCAGCTCCTTCCCCCTGCCTGCAGGCCTCCAGGCTGGTGGTGCCTGGATTACCTGTGCCAGGAGGTGATGGGGTTGTGTGGAAAAGTCCATCTTACTGTCCCAGCACAATAAAGGCACCAGCCAGCTCTCCTTCGCATCTAGCGTCTTTCCCAGATGCCCCACAGCTGCTGCCTGACTCCAACAGTGATTGTCCACTAGGTGCTGCTGCAGCACCCTGGGGTGCCAGGAGATCCTTTCGGGGGTGCTGTAGGATGCTGTGCACCCTTGGTACCATTAGGCATCTCAGGTTGACCCAAAAGTTTCCCACAGGAATGCAGAGGGTTAGAAATGCTTGGGCCTGTTACAATCTCCCTCAGTTCTTTGCAACATGATCACTCTGCTACTTTTCTGTAGTCAAAAACTGAGTGAAAACTAAGCTGGCATTTTCCACGGGGTGCCTCCAGTCTAAAAAAAAAATGAGTTCTACTGCTCTGACACAGAAGCCCACTGCTTGATGCAAGTCCACAACTCTTTTTATGTTGTGCTGTTCTTGTATCCTCAGTCAGACCAACAGCCTTTCCTGAGATCCTCCTTTCTCTCCCCCACATTCCCTGCTTAAAGGCAAATAGATAAGGATGAGAGGGACCCTGGCTTGTAATGTTCTGGTCATCGTGTCCCTGTTTATGGTCTCTTGAGAGATTTGACACAGTACCTGGTCACTTACCTTGTTCCATCTGAGTTTACCAAGACTGCTTTTTTTTTCTTGATAGCATTCAGGCAACAATGCTGAGAGATGTGAATGCATTGCAACTACATGTGGGAATGTTATTTGCTGTTGAATCTGCCAATGAATGAACATGAGAGCTACCATTTACAGGAAACCCTTGCTATTTGCGGGTTCAAATATTCACGAATGCTGAACCCGCATCTTAAATACACTTAAATGAGCTCCTCAGGAGCTCTGTGCTTGCTGCCACCATGCTCCTGCTGCTGCCAGTGCAGCCGTGCCCCCCTCCCCGCCATCCGTGTGGGCACTGTGCTCATGAATGTATTTGTTCAAGAACATATCCTGCATGAATGGTGAGGGTCTCCTGTACTGAGTCAGATCATAGGTCTGTCTTGCCTAGTATTCTGTGTCTCACCATGGCAGAAAGTAGATGCTTGAAAGTGAAAGTCAACAGGGTATCACCACGGTTTATCCCGTTCCTCTCCTGCTTGCAACCTCCAGCATTTATAAAGGCCAGGAAGTTCTGATTCAGAGGGTGTACCCCTAACTCACATGCCCAATAGCTACTGCTGTACCTTTCCTCCAAGAATTTGTCCAATCCCTTTGTGAATTTGGTTAAACTATCAGCTTCCACAGCATCTTGTGGCAATGAGTTTCATATTTTAATCACACATTGTGTGAGAAAGAACTTACTTTTGTTTGATTTAACCTTACTGCCTACTACATTCATTTTGTGACCCCTAGTTCTTGGTGTGTGTGTGCGCGCGTGCATGTGCGCACGCACGTGGGCATGTGGGGGAGAGAGAGAGAAAATGATAAATCCCTCCTTACTTTCTCTTCATCGGTCAGCATTTTGTAAACCCTTATTGTGTCCTCTATCAAGTGTCTTTTTTACTTTGTGTTTACAATACACTCTGTGCCTGCCAGTCTGGCAGCGCTACTTCCCATACTTGTGGCTGGAGTAATTTATTTGTGAAAACCTTAAACAAACATAACAACTCCAGCAAAAATCAGCCAAAGTAAAGAAAGCTGATCTACTTGGCTAAATAAGTTAAATACTCAAGTATCCATAGTTTTCTCTCTCCAGTTATCCTCGGGTGCTATGTGAATGAGTATTAATGTGATCATTGAGCCTATTTTCCAGATAAAACTATTGAGATATAGACAGGTTAGGATTTTTACAAGAGGAACAGAATGCAGGTTTCTTCGCTACCCACATATCAGGCAGGACAGCATCTCATGATAAGAAGGATGGTCTAGCACAGTGTTTCTCAATTTTTTTCCAAGTTGACAATTTCTTATTTGAACTAAAAGTTTTATGACCCCCTCATTTTCTGTAAAAGCACGAGAAGGCATCAATGACAGTTTTAAGACTGTGATTTATCTGTGTGTTTCTAAGGGCTGACAGCTCGATTATGAAGAGTTAGCTTTGTGGGGAGAGGGCAACTGAAATTCTCTTTGCTTTCAGTTACAACAGAAGACAAAGTGCCTCATGACAGCTCTGACTGCTTTTCCTGACTTTCTGGTTGAAAATCACTTCACTAGTACCTGAGACTTGGGTTCAGTTCCTGATGTGTGACTGCATGTCACTTCATATAATCTGTGTCTTAGTTCCCCATCTGTAAAATAGGGGGAACAGCTTCTCTACCTCACAGGTAGTGAGAATTAAATTTATTAATCATTGTGAAGTGCTCACATACCACAGCGATAAGGGCCAAGGAATTAAATAAGTACAGTGCACATGGGGTTGCAATCTCAGGTTGAGAACCACTTCCAAAGAAACCTGTCCTGTAGAGTCTTAGCCCAAGAGTCCAGCCCAACAAGGTTTTTGAGGGCAGCACATGCAGTTTCTTCTAACTTATTGTTGCTAAATCTTTCCAGAAGGAGGGAACAGAATCAACAGAGTTCTCTTTTGTCACAACATTCATTAGCAGTGAGATCCCTATAGCATCTTTCCATGTTTCCAATGATATGGCTTTAGAAACGCAGCTTACAAAACACAACCAGTAAACACAGCCCTCACCCATGTTAATAGTAGCCTATTTACAATGAGGTGGGAGCCTAATTAGCTGGAACTCTTGTGGTGCCACAGTAACTTTAATTGCCCATGTTCCCCTGAAGCTCTTAACCAAGTGTTAGGAGCTGGTGTTGGTTTCAAGGCCATGTGCAAGCAGCTTGCCCAGATGCAGCCCACAACTAAGTTCCTTATGCCTATTCTGCTTACCTAATTCAGTATTATAGGGTCACGCTGAACATAGTTGGGTTAACATTCAGCAAAGGGGGGGAGCAGGGGGACAAAATCTAAGGCAGAAAAATACAGGAACAGGTCAAGCAAAAAACCCAACAAAGCAAAACAATACCCCCCCCCTCAAGGAACAGAAAAAGAACAGCATCCTCCATGTGGTGCTTAAACAAAGGTGAAGCAATGATAATGTCTTCTCGGTAGGCCATATTATGCGTTTTTCAGGTTTAACACTACAAAACATGGAAGTTACGGGAACAGTGCATGCATTTTATAACTTAAAAGGGAAAAATGGAAATGAAACAACCTCTTGGATATGATGAACATCATTTTGGGCTCCTCTACAGGTGATGAGCTTCCTGCTGCACAGTTATCATGGCTACAGCTCTCACAGTACTAAGGAAATCCAAAGGCTCATCCATTCTTGAAGAGACTGAGACTTCCCCCGACTCCATTTTGTCCTCTGCTGTTTGCCCTTAACTCCTTTTCTCCAAATGTCTTGAAAATTCTTAACTCCCACAGTTCCCCCCTCATGGCTTTTAGCTCCTTTGCAGACCATGCGACAGATACAGGTTAACTGAGAGATCTCAGGAGCAGCTTGTAACCAACAGCAAAGAACAGGTGCTGGGAAGCGACAGTCATTTGATCTCTGACCCTCAGCTTCAAGCAGGCCCTACAATTTCTTCCTCGATATTTATAACAGCAGCCAAGTTGAACTATTCCAGGTGTTTGCTTGCTCCCTTGTTGGATGCATCCTGTATTTTTCTGGCTTGTTTCTCCATCATCTTCAGGCACTGCCTTGGCATTGGCAACATCAGTAAAAGTGCATGTTCCAGCACTCTGAGCACTCCTGTCTAATGAGATCTTTGTAGCCATAGTCTATTATTTTCCTTCAGAGGCTGTCAGTGCTCTAGGAGAATTCTAGGGCCCATGCAAGAGCAACTGTTCTACAAAACTAGCTGTATGCTGAGTGGGCGTGGGGCATCCTCCAGGGCAGATGGTCCTGCTGAGCTAAATAGAATATGAAACGCAAACAGTAACCATTAGAAGGTTACCTTGATTTTATAACCAGCTTCTTTTGGAGACTGAAGAATTCACTGAATAGTGCACCCGGGTGAAGTCTGTTGCCTGATCCCTTATCAGAGCCCCATCAGTACTTCTTTGCTTTTATTTGGGAGACAAACACTCATCCCAGGAGAGCAATTCTGAACCATAGTGGGGGAACCACTACTGTGATGTGGTTACATTCATAGCCCACAAATCAGCAGCTTGGCTTAATAGCTTTGCTTTATTTTTCCCTTATGCTGTGCTCTTCTCATGGCCTACAGCCACAACATAAGGAATGTAAATGCCTGAGGCAGCCTTTTTGCCTTCAGGTGCCTCCAAAATGTTAGGGAATGACTCTTCTCTTTGTGTTTTTTCTCATGCTGTAGTAGTTTTTCCCATTGTGAAGGATCTACGACATCACTGCAAATTTGGCTTGAACTGGAAGAACCAAATCCAACCTGACAGCCTGACTGCACCTTAGCCCAGTAACAGAAGCAGCACTCTTCTTGGCTTAACTTAGGCAACCCCTGGCAGGATTTAACATTCTGAGGATCCTGTGCAATAATGAATGCTAACAAGTAGCTGTAATGCAATGGGGGAGTTTAACTAGCTCTGGGTATCATGGGATTGCATGGTTTTCACTGTCCTGGGTAAGAGTCGCTTTCAGCCTTGAGATCCGCTGGTTCTCTATGCACTCTACCCCTCATGGGGGAGATCCTACAGTTGGAATAGAACTGGAAGGCTAGGCCCTGTACTACACAATTCCTTTGCAGCAGGGCATGTCCTAGAGTTTGAGGAGATTAAAAAAAAAAAACCCCACAAAAAACCCAGCCCTCTAAGTCCCTGCTGATCCTTTTCCTGCACTTAAATACTATAGGCCAGCAGTTCCCAACCCCAGGTCATGACTCAAATGAGGGTTGTGGGGGCAATGCCAGCGGCACCATACACAGAAGATGAGCCTCGCCACATGCCAGGAGCTCCCCCGCCCCTGGGCTGCCACTGCATTCCACTCCCAGCAGTGGTCGCAGAAAAAAAGGTTGGGAACCACTGCTATAGGCCCATCACAACTCAGCCATGTGCACTTCTTTACAGGTCCAGAAACCAAATAAAACAGCAGTTACCCAACTGCCTGCCTCATAGCAGCCCACTCCTGAGGCACGTAACCACAGCATTTACAGAGATGCTCAGATCATTCCACTTCCCCGTGCTCTTTAAAGCAGCACTGGCTCCCATGCTCCAAATCCAGCCCTTCTCTACACTATGCATTCTGCCCCAGGCCATGAGCCATCTGGCTGTTCAGCTGCCAACAAAGACTGGAGTCTAGAAGAAGTCGGCAGCCATTGCCTTCATGCTGTGCTCTGCCAGGGCTGAGAGACCCACTCACTTCCTGAGATCAGACCTACCCTGGCTGCATGATCTGTCCAGCTAAAGCCCCTAACTGCTCCCTTAGGCTGCTGTTCTACCAGCTTCCACTGCCCTCTGATCTAAGCAGCTACTTGGGGTCACCTTTTCCTGCTTCTTTTCAGTGCTGCCAGGGCAGGTTACTGCCCCTCTCTGCTAGGTAAGGTCTCACCCTTCCACGCCCTCCCCCCTACAAGGTAGCAGGGCAGAGGAAGTATGTTCTCAGCTGTATTCTGATGAGCTCCCACAGAAGCAGCCAAGATATGGCCCCATCTGGATGAAGGTACCCCACAAGATCACAGCTAAAGCTAGACATCAGCGCTAGGTTTTGCCTCTGAACTGAGGCATCCAGTGCCACTGCTGGCTGCTCATGCACCATCATAAGAGCAAGCAGTCACTTCCCCAGGATGTTCGGTCCAAAGCAGCATACACAGGCTTAGCACAGACAGGTTTCTCCTGCTGCATGCCTCATAGACCTGAACTCCTTCTGCCATCCTGGGCTTAAAGCCTCTTTCTTACCTTGGCTTGTGCTGTTCCTTCACACTAGATGCAAACACCTATGGGAGAAAAGTCCAGGCACCCTGGAGAATAATTTGGAATAAAACTTTCCTCCTCCAGAATGAATGTTATCCATTACCCTTCTTCTGTCCCCACCAACAGGGGCATGGGTATGTTTTTACAGAAGGGAGGCAAAATCATGAAGTGCTTCCCCTAGATGGAGGACTGTAGGGATCCCTGCTGGAGAGAGGCATTCAGCAGCTCAGAGACCAAATGATGGCCTGTGGCAATTGCCCCACATATACCCCCATATCTGCATAGACAGGCCCAGCTGCATATCAGGCACTAATGTAAGTAGGGTGGCCATCATAGAGGACATTCTGGATTTCTGCTACTCTGTCCTCTATTGATACAAAACCTGACACCTTTATGTCCTCTGTTTTTCTCCTCAAGAGAAAATGTGTATGCACTGAAGGTCTGGGTGGCCCCCAGGCATACACCACAATCCAGGAGGATTGACACTTGCCACTGTAACAGGGCACCAGGCCAATTACCCAGGGGACAATCTCCCCAGGCACCTGCACTGACCGGGGAATCTATACAGCCTGACTCTCAGAGAACATCCAACCTAGGCAACAGCAAGCACTGAGTCCTTTTTCGGAGCCTGATGCCCCTCCTTTTTACCACTCCTTCAGGCCTGGCATTGGCTGCAGGCACAAACAGGGCAGGGCCAACACAGCCCAGCCACTCTCTTTAACCCTTTCCTCAGCAGGAGCTAGTGAGTCTATGCCATCCACACATTCTCCTCTTCAAGACCCCTTTTGCTTCTTTCCAAGAGAAAAATAGAAGACATAAAGGCGTCTGGTTTCGTATCAGTAGAGGACAGAGGACAACTGGACTGTCCTCTATGATGGCCACCCTAGATGTAAGATACAGTACCTCCTTCCCACAGAGACCTGACATGAGAGTCCATGTTTTAGGAGGGCAAACTTCAACGAGCTAAGGAGGATAGTTGGAGAAGCGCTGAAGTCTCAGAAGGGAGGGGAGCCGGGTGTCCGAGGGAAGTGGTCGCTCCTTAAGGAGACGATCCTCCAAGCCCAGAGGAAGGTAATCCCCAGGAGGGTCAAAGGGGGCAGGAGAGCATATAAGCCTCCATGGCTCACTAAAAACATCCGGGAATGTCTCCTTGCCAAAAAGGAGGCTTACTCCCAATGGAAAGGAGGGGTCATCACTAAGGAGGACTATTC